CAAACATAATCTGTGTCATTTTTTCACGATTTGCTTTAGGATTCATTGGTGCTTCAGTAAGTAGGACAGGATGTTCTTCTGGGGCTACACGTAATTCATTATAAAATGTATGATGCCATATTTTCTCCATATCGTCCCAATTCGAAACAATTCCATGTTCAATAGGATATTTCAAAGTTAGAATACCTCTTTTCGATTGTGCTTCATCACCAACATAACTATCTTTTTGTCCCATACCAACCATAACACCTTGATGTCTTGGACGACCAACAATTGATGGGAATACAGCTCTTGGTGCATCATCACCAGCGAATCCAGCTTTACACATACCGGATCCATTATCAATTACAAGTGCACTTATTTCATCTTCTGACATTTTGTAAAAATCAAGTGAATTGAGTAAAACAATGTCAAAAGATTAATTGTTGTTTTTATTAAACTGGAGGATGTTCTGATAAGTGCTAGAATTACTAATTGCACCATACTGTAGTTTATATTTATTGTCTCACTTAACAACAACCATATATGGCTATCGATTTGATGATGTTTAGTAAACCAATAATAAATACAGGCGAATTCTAGTTCTAACAAAAATGTCGAATGCCACATTTATTTATGATAAAACATTATTAAATTCTATTATTTTAGTTACTTTGCTAAAGTATTAGATAGTCATTACTACTAAATATGTGCTCATGTATATCTCTATGTGAATGCTTGTAATACACATTCTATCTAACTTAAGTAATAAGGCAACTATTGTAAGAAAGAAAGAAAAAAAGAAAGAAAGAAAGCTGGTTGTGTGCACTTATGTGTACATGTCAATATTGTTTGTATGAGATTCTACATAATCATTATAATACTGAATAAAATAAGATAATTGTGATGTTTATTGTTGTTTACTATTCAACTTTCTCTGTATTCAGAGAAGACGGTTAACAGTTACCAAGATATCAATGTAATAAGATAACGGACGTCTTTTTAAAAAAAACTGATTGGACTAACCAGTACCAACATACAATTATGATATATTGCTCATTATGTAGAATAATAATAGAACAGTAAATAATTTCGGCGAGACTATCATTTATGGATGAATCAAACAGATTTATGGTAACAGATCTTGGATTTCCACGTGAAATTCTTTATCCTTTTTGCTAAATAGCATCTTGGTATTTTAGCTAATGTCAGTTTGTGATGAAAACTATAAATCTAATCCCTATCCTTAACTGTCAACTGTAAATCACAATCCTTATCCTTCATTCAGGTTTAAAACTCTCATTTAGCCCAAGTGGACATTCTCAAGCCTACTTTAGCGTTGCTCAAAGGTCGTCCATAAATTATAGTCGATATGCTTGAATGCTTTTACGAGTTCACCTTACTCGGGAAACGGAACGAAGGTCAAAGATATAGTGACACGATAGGCTATTCTAATCCGTTGTCCCGGGCCCTGATAGCTAGATCAAGAAATCTTGATCAGGTGTAGACAATGTATTCTATACCAAAGTATTCCAATCATAATGAATTAGCATCCAGAGGATATATTACATGGACCATTGGTTTAATGTGATGGTAGGAAGAACAGTACACAGCTATCTTTGAAATTGAGCATAATAATCGTTATTCAATGATTATATGAGCTGAAGAAAGATTATTTCTGTAAGGAAATTTATTTATAAATATCGATCACCATAAAGCCGCTTGGCCCATCAATTAATCAGATGAGGAGAAAATCAGCCAACAGGAGATCATAACTCCTGTACTCTGGAAAAAAAGCAGTCACATAAATAGGAACAAACATTGGTTAAATTCACTTGTTGTTTTACTTGTATCTTCCAATTGTTATTTAAGACTTCAAATGACCAGTCTCGTGTTGGCATATGTGTAACCTGTAAGGACTGCTTCGATATTGCCCCAATTCACAAGCTTTTTAAGCAAAGATGGATAGTGGCTGGCAGTGGAATTCAGGATTCGTATTTCGTCCTATTTAAGACTCGTCAGCTGGACAGTCCCTAGACTTCACATCGAAAAACTCAATTGTCAGTGTAATCCTATAGTTATAACGTTTATACCATAAGAAACAGATAAAAAAACTATTTAGAAGTGGTTACAACTAGTTGCTTAAGAAAAATGATCTAAATATTTTGAGTAAGTTTTCATACTACTAGATTATGACAAGTAGTACAAGATCCACAAAACAATTATCAGATGAATACCAATACTCTACAGGCTGCATTACAGTATAGGTGGTCAATCGTCTTTTATGAAAACTATTAATCGATAAGCACCGAGTGAGTGATACATTAGTATCAACCACTAACATTATTAATAAATATTTACTTGACTCCAAAAGTAATGATGTCTAGAAGAATTATAAACAGGTTTATAGCAATCAATGTAAGTTATTCTCTAGATACCGACTCGACCAAAATCATGAGGATTTCATGGGGTTACTCATATTAATGTTAAAAATCAATGATCGAAATGACAGTAAGCGTTCAGAAGTAATCTCTTTCAGTGTTTCTCTAAATCTCTGGTCGGCTATCATCAAAGTCCAGTGGTCAAGCGTAGTCTAGCGGTTATGATTCCTGGCTTTCATCCAGGCGGCCCGTGTTCGACTCCCAATGCGGAAAAAAGGAAAAAACCCGAATGCCCTGGCATGGCCGAGGCTAAGGAGAGTCAGCTCTCCCTCTCGAAATGCTCCCACATGGCCAATCGTATACAGCCACTCCCATGTAAGTCCTACTCACTACATTCTCGCGGCATTACTGTTGTTTACGAAACTGGGAGGACGGAAAGAGAATGTTTGATGCTATAACCGGGTTGGTGGATACGGAGGATCCACCCACAGGAGTTAGAAAACCCTCATTCCAAACCAATGGTGTATGAACCTATTGTTGGTCACCGGCTATCATGGGACTGTATTTCCTTATGTTGCTCCACTACCTTGTGGATCAGACCACTAGGTCGAAGGCTCCATGTGTGGTCCTCTAAGAAAACAACCTGCTTTGGTCCGGGCGCCCGGGCAGTATCACAGCCCACACACAAATCAAATGACTTGTGTGGTGCATATGTAATCGGTGCCCCTTTGTATCAATATTTACGTCTTCAACTAAATCAAATTTATGATATCTTGCCAATAATATCGATGACTTAGTTGGCAAAAGACAAATGAGCTTTTTAAATCCATGTGGAGATTGTGTATTCACCAAACTCTTATAATAGGTGAGTCAACTTCACTTACTATACCCAAACTAGGGCTTGGGGCAGACAAGTCCAGATACAATACTTTATATTTAGAAGGAAAAAGACGCATTCTAAACAAGTCAACATGATTACTCAGAGGATCCAGTAGAGTCTGCATTTTATCAGTGATTATAGAGTGTGATCTGTGTAGTATAAGTAAGATAGTAAGTCTCTCAGAAGGAACACGTAAGAAGAAAAAAGAATCCAACCTCGGGATCCAACTTTAATGGAATTTTTTCAAAATAGATCAAGTGAGGAGTTTGATTAAGATCATTTAAAGTTACAAACTATGATGATCGTTCACTATAATCACTGACACAACCGATAGATTTCGATTAAATAGGCTTTACAAGATATGCTTTTCAATTGTAAACATTATGATACAATGTATCCATCACTTGAGCTGAATATAACTTCAACATGGTGAAATACGATTATAATTGAACACTAAAAAAGATTACTCATATCCTAACTTCTTTATTAATGATAAAAACGTCCTCTTTTACAAAATTTTGAGAACTATAATAACGTAATTCGAATTTCTTCTATCTCTGTGACATTATATTGGTTTATTTTTATCAGTTATACTACTACAGTGTTACTATGATAACTAAAATGTGGTTTTCCATAAATCTATATAACCAATACAATATCATGAATAACAATTGACCCAATTTAATGAGTAGAAAGTGTGAATGAAGACAATGTGTACATGCATACACACACATACATACATACATACAGACAGACACAGACAGGCAGACACACATACATAATATATCATTTTGACAATAACTATGATAATGATCCGTTTGGATGCCAAAACATGCGGTGCACATCAATAATGAATTTATTCAACAAGAAATTACAATGACAATAAATAAAACGTTTTCTTTCTTTCTTTTTTTTTTAAAAAAAAGAGAAGCGAAATGAATAGCACACAACTTAATCAAAGATCAAGAAACAACATGAATAAATAAAAAAAATTTGGTTACATTAGATAGATAAGAATCATCAAATAGCGTGCACCTCTTACACATACATACAAATAGTACAGGTATCATAATCACTTTGTGTGTTTTTATTTGATGACAGTAGCATAGGTAGTAGTAATAGTAGTAGTAGTAGTAGTGTGTAGGATCTGTGGCAGTAACAACAATAATGATCAATACTCAATCAGTCTTGAGGAATAATTGTTAAACTCTTGTTCGACTATTTTTTTTCTTTCAGTGTTGAGTAGTTTGCATAGATATATGCTAGTTCTACGGGAAAAAAAGAGAGACGACATTGTACTTATGTTGATAAACAAATGTTATATCATCTATTCTCAGATTTAAAAAAAAATCAATCACAAGTTTGAAAAGAAAGTTACAACAGAGAAAAGAAGAATGAAAGAAAATATGTAACCGATTTTAGGTTTACACATAGATAGTAATAAGGATATGGACGATGGTGTATAAAAGATCACAGTGTTTACAACAATTTAGGCATGTCAGAGTCGTACATCATCATCATCATCATCATCATCATCATCAATAACATCTCGAAATCGTAGTTATTCATTACAGGACATGAGTTGAAAAATAAAAAGTTACATAAAAAATAACAAAATTTAAGTAGTAACTGAATGACTTTTTAGAAAAAAAAATGTTTGTGAAAATCTAGTTCATTTGTCATTGATAGAGAATTCAATGGATGTGTGTGTGTGTGTGTTTGTGGATGGATGAATTCATTCAATAGAAGAACATAACATTCTATTGTAGTTTTGAATAAATCGATGGTCTAAATTTATAATGAATAAATTTCAATATTAATATTGGTATACAACTGACACCAGTGATAGCTAATACTTTCCAAACAAATCCGATTGTTCTTAGAAATACTGAATCTGTAATTAATGAATAAAACAAATAAAAATTGAAAGGATTACAAATGGTTACAGTGACTGGAATAATCAAAATGAAACAGAATGTGTATAATCAGTAGGATGATGATGTTGATGAGGAGGAGGAGGAGGATTTTAATCTGAACTAATCGATAATGGAATAGAAAAGAATGTCATGTTGTATTCAACCGCTGCTCTTTGGAATTTTTAATTCAATGCAGTCTTACTCTAATATGGTATCCATTTGAAATAAACGTTCACTTATAACACAATAAACAAATAGTTTAAATTATTAATTAATTGAAAGTCATTTGTATGAAAGCTAACGTGATACTATTTGACTGCTTAGAATCAAATTAGTCATACAGATTAATTGAAAGTTAAGTGTTTTAAACGCTATCTTATTGCTACAAACAATCATCTTGTCATCGAGCATATAATTCCGTTAGAATGAATAAATACTTCAAAGTAACTCAGTGATTCGATCTGTGACTGTGGTACTGAAGGACAATATCGACTTCGAATCAATATTACTGAGATACTGTGTTGATGGTTTTCATTACAGGAAAAAAAAAATGTGTATGGTGGATGTCATTTTAAATTAGTTATACGAAGAACTCGTATGGACTGAAATTCAGATGTATGATCGAAAGTCACTTGTTTGACATAGTACATCACTTACTCCACTACATCTGTATTACCCTGTGTCACAGTCCTGTCTAACAACACCGATTGTATAAACTAACCTTAAAAAGGTATAAGAAGTGTAGAGACTGTGTTTACAAGAGATCACTCATTGATAAAGTTGTTTGACTTGCAAACACTACGTAAGAGGTTCGAACTCAGCAACCGGATAGCATGACTAGCTCTCAAATTTAGACTGTATCTTAAAGTAAATCACATGAATTAGAATCTCGTATGAGTTGAGAGAACACAAATTTTAACTAGAGAGTTACAAAATGTAAATGCGAATCCTCCACGAAGATTTGAACAATCATTTATTAGTGCATTACTTAAAATACTGCCTTTGGTTTAGTATAAGAAATTGTGTTTAGAGTAAGCAAGGGTAATTTTATGTGTGTAATAAACCCATAAAGTCAATGGTTTTTAGTCATTTATGTATACATGTCTACTGAAATTCACGGAATACATGGATAAGAACTGAAAACTTTGCTGAGTACAACAAACGAATTATTTTGTACGATTAAATATAAAAATCTGATTATGAGTCAAATGAATTAAACTTGAAAAAGTAGTGGGACTAAAGTATAGGACAACCTTTAAGTAATTTCCAAAAACGCTATTGGATAAATCTCAACCATTTACCTGATTTGAAATAGGATTAAGTATAAGTGTAGTAGATTCAAAATTAGTAATTAGAGTTAGAAACCAAGTTTCAATGTTTCATAACAAAATGACATCAACTATAATGCAATAACACTGTGTAGTCTATATTGTTAAGCCCACAAATGCCCTGGTATGGCCGAGAGTGGAGAGAGTCAACTCTCCCTCTCCAAATGCTCACACATGGCCACATGCATATAATCACTTCCACGAAAGTCCTACTCACTCCCTTATCGCACCACGGGTGTTGTTTACGAAATTGCGAAGACGAAAAGCGAATGTCCGACGCTTTAACCGGGTTAGTGGACACAGAGGATTTACCTAGCTGAGTTGCAAAACCTTCATTCCACGATCCTGAAGGAACAAATGGCGTATCAACCAATTATTGGTTACCGGTTACCATGTGACTATATCTCCTTACGTTGCTCCACTACCTTGTGGACTAGACCTTTATGTCGAAGGCTCCGGTTGTGGCCCCATCTGTTTGAATTTGAGCCCCCAGATAGTATCACAGCCCGAATATGTATTCGGTGTCTCCTTACGCCAATATTTATGTGTTGAAACAGAAATAAATAAACAAATAATTGTGTAGCTACCATATGGATAGGTGAATTTTGTGTACAAATTCAATAGGTACAAACTTGGAATTTGATTGATTTGTCCTGATAGTTTTAGTTAACAACAAGATAGTATAGTATATTCTAAAGTTTAAAAGTGTCTTATATATAATGTAACATAATTAGTTGACATTATACATATTAGACTAATGAAGTATTTATTCATTTACACAATTACATATTCAAAATATCATAACAGTAATAAATTAGGAAGAAAAATACACTGAAGACAAATACATTGATTCTTATCTAAACATTCCATTTGATATGTTTTTTGTGATCCCCTTATCCGATTCCAATTGGATCCTGTTATGAATGACTGTTGTCGAAATATATATCCTGACTATTCTAGTATAGAATTACCGACTTAAATCAAGTTAGTGAATAACGGGATCAAATAAATCCAATAAGAAGCCAGATCAACTCCATCTTTTCATTGTTCTATCGAAATATATCTGATTAATACATACATAATTTTAAAAAAAAAACGGGGAAAACGAAAGAAGTATACACTTACCAAAATATGCTTTCATGACAATCAAAGCCATTATATAAATTGCTAAACTGATAACTTCCGCTAAAATCATTAGAAGATGCCATGTACGTATGGTAATAGCTACCATAAGTAATTCTGTTAATAATAAAGCTGTAAATGTGATAGCTACTACATGAATGAATTCATCTTCGAAAAGTAACAATGCACCATACATGATAACACTACCTAAATAAATGAAACAATGAGAATAATTCAGTATGTGGTTATAAAGATTGTTGAGTTTCATTGGAATTATGAACCCGATCTAAGTTAGACCACTATTGAAAACCTGGAAGCGCTGGATGATTATTTCGTCCTTGTATAGGAGACTCCACAAGAGTGAACATTTACAGTTCAGAACCCAGAACTTTCGATCTTTCAGTAGAGATATTTAACAAAGAAATTGTGAATGAGATAATTCAATGATGATTTATGAATGGTTATATCATATGAATCAAGGACTTTTTAATCGGAGTGAAAGGAACCATATCATTTAAATCTTACAACAAAATTTACGCGCAAAATAAGGATTCGCACCTCCAGTTGGGTGAACAAATATGTGTGCCGGGCTCTATGTTCATGATGTCCATTTGTCTATCATCTAAGTTAAAACATACACTTTAAAGGATTCCTAAGTTACGCTTTTTTTTCTACTTGCACTGTCTAGATATGATAGGAAGAATATTAAAATTAAAAGTATGATGTTGTTGTCTGAAGAACCTTTATGTTCCTCAACATAATACATCTCAGATCAGAATGAGGTGAAAGTTTCACAAATAGTCAAACCGCTAAAAACAGGAAACGAAGTAGTGTTAAAATCAATATTGATAACTCTACAGTATAAACTTTCAGAAAATGAATGTGACGTTTTCAACCATCCACTTCAGATAGTGTATAAATAATCAAATTGAAAGATGTTCAATTCAATAATTATACTCAACAATTGAGAACACATAAAAATTCTTTTCCCTAAACATTTAATAGCCTGCAAAACAAATCATTACCATGAGCACTGACATATTCTCATAAGGAGCATACTATGCTAAAATAAACCAACCTATTCAATTTACTATGAATCATAATAAACTTTATACATCATGATGAATAAACAAGGTGCTATCAATGTATTCGAATATATATATACTAACCTTGATAAACACTAATCAACTGCCAGATGAAATATGTTTTAAAAGTTAATTCACGACCTTTCTGTAAAGTTTTATATAATTCAGGGTAAGTTAGAGCAATACGATCCGGTACATCCTTATCAAGCACCAATGAAAATACAGGGAACATAGTGAACACTGTGGCATAACCAACATATAGAAAACTTGGGAATAACGGTATTGCAACAAAATAGAAAACAGCTGAAAATATCGCTTGCATGACGGTGATAATGGAACCTAAAATGAAAAGGAACAATGTTGTAGATGGAACTAGTAAGCTTCAAGATAAAATGAAAATGCTATTCGTTGACAAAATGTAACCATGTCCGAAACACGGTCGTTATTAGGGATGACAGGATTATAGTTAAGCTCTACAATAAACTGATGAGAGCTGAACATGTGGATTGTTAGATTATAATTCACTGCTGCACATCGCTATCGTAGTGAGATCTGAATGACCCTAGGTTCAGTCCTATGTGAATAATTACGAATAAGCACACACTGTCAGGCAATTCCGAAGTTAAGATCGACACTTCATCAAAATAAGATCGACATGTCCAGCGCTACCTGATTTTATTTATTCTTCAAATGACGTGGTTCTACAACTTAATATTAAATAACTCATATTACTTAGTCCAATTAAGTAGCACAAGAGATAATTATGAATTTAAATGGTTGAAATCATGAGTCAGTCGAAGCTAGACCACCATGGAAAACCTGGAAGCACTGGATTTAGCATGAGTCTGTTTCACGATAAGAGGTGAACCAACTAAATGAGTGTTTTTTTAATGACCCAAACAGACCATTGTTAATTGAGTATAAGCAGTTAGAAAAAAACTACTTGATGACTGTAGGTAATATGAGCTAAAAGATAGAAAACCGTGATAATCAAATCATGATGCACCAAATAAATCCTAAGATCTGAATTTATCACAAGTTTGAGTATGAAGTGGGTAAACTTAATCCTTGAGGCTATAAACAACACAACTAGAAAGGAAATAAAGTTATTGATTTTGGAAATGACTTTTTACGCAACTCCCTAAAACTACGGGTGTGGTTATCAATCCAAATACCAATTGTTTTCATATCTAGATTAATAAAACGTAACTCGTAACACAATCGGTGTGTATTTAAATAAAGACTTAAGGGGGAAACTCTCTAATCAGCTCGCTTGTCTTGGCTAATATTAATCATCTAGGTATTACTGAAGATGAAATATTCAATATGAAACTATTTAATTTTACTCATTTATTTATCTGAACACATAAACAGTGGTACAAGGAGGCCAGTAATATTGATCGTTGATTTGTGTGAGGGCTTTGATACTGCCTGGGTGCCCAAACCGAAACACATGGTTTTCTTAGGGGGCCACACTCGGAGTCTTCGATTGAAAAGTCTGATCCACAAGGCAGTGGAACAACGTAGGGAGATCCATTCCTATGGTAGCCAGTGACGAATAATTATTTCATACACCATTTGTTCCTTCAGGATCCTGGAGCCCTAGAACACTGAACCGGCACCCAACGGGGTTAATGTCTGACTTCCACCAATCCACGATATTGCTCCACCGTCCACCATTGTCTTCATTGAGTAACTGCCTCACAAGAGACACGGTTGTGTGCCACTGGTCACAGCTTTTCACTAAAACTCCAGGAAATCTATCTCTAGGCCAGTTACTACGGAACACATGATAATAATCAGTATAGGGTTGTAAAGATTGTTAAGTTTAGATTGATAGCATGAATAGATCAATGTTAGACCACTGAAAATCTGGAATCACTGGACGGAGTAAGGGATCGTGGAAGCTCACTACTGAATAGTCCCATACTATGACGAAACGGCCTTCCAGTGCTACCAAGTTTTCAAAGATGGTCTAACATTGATCCATTCATGATATCAATCCAAACTCAACAATCTTCACAACCCTATACTGATTATTTAAGTTAAACAAACATTGAAAATCTAATTATTACCAATGATTAACAACCCTAAAATCAATGATGTTACTACAGGAACACAGTAATAAACATAACCAGAAACATTGTTTGTTTTTAATCTATAATGTGTATTAAATATATTTTTATTAGATTACATTCATGAAAGAAAAACAAAACATACACTACCAAACAAATCGATCGTATTTTATTTCTTAAAGCCAAAATATACTAGAAATATAATTTAGAAAACGATCTAAATTGTTGTTGTAAGTTAATACAGGAAGAAGAAGAAAAAGAAGAAGAAGAAGAAGAAGAAGAAGTAAGATGAATGTTGTAGTTGAAAATACTCAATAAAAAAAACTGTAAAGCACAATGAATTAGTTATTAAACAGTTTAAAAGGAAAAAAACAGTATTAATTAATTAGAATTCATCGTTATGAAGAATTTGGAACATATATATTGTTATCTAAATTGGTTCTCATTGCTTATAGTTTGTTAACTTTGTTATGTACTCCAAGTTCATTGAAGTTTGATGGAGTTTTGTTCTCTGAACTGGATGGTTTAGTCGTGGAGCTTTCATCGTTCTTCTGAACAACATCATCAGCACAAACTTCAGGCAGAAGGGAAGTGTTCGAATTTCTCCACATGTGGTTCACATCTTGTCCTATAGACCTCAATGTTGATTAGTTGTTGTTGACCATTGGCAGGTTTAAGGTCAACATCCAGTTCAGAGAGAAAAAAACTCGATCAAAATCATCTACCTGAGCTACAAAGCTTCTCCACCATTTCAAGTTCATTGAATGTTACCATAAAAACAGAGTTATTCACTTTCAAATTTGACTTTTGTAAAGAATATAAAGCGCTCTTGAAAGTCCCGTCTTCTCAATGAATAATGTGTGAATTATTAACATTGAAATATTGTTGTCTGACAAATGTCCGTTCTATTCGACTTTCTATTTGTCGAGTAGTTATATTAAAAACATTCTCGAACGTTCATAATCAGAATTTACCATAGATTAATCTGAAATCCTAATGTTTTAATCGTTCCTGTTAAGATGTTAACAAGATACAAAATCATAATAACCATTAACTACTCCCACTACATCATCATTAAATAGACAAAAGCAAAGGTAGAAGTGACACGGAAGTCCCTTGGTTTTAATTCGCCAAGTATATTCAATTGTTAATTTTATAAGTATAACAACAGACAGGCTATAATGCAAACTAAAACAACTCAAAATAACACTCAGTTACTTTGAGCATACAAAAGCCACCTTTCAGTTGAACTATTCTAAGGATTATTCTACCTCAATAATACCAATATAAACAATATTCAATGAATCGGTAATAGAAACCCATTGTCTGAGTGCATCCTGTTCAGATTATTCTATTACAAGAAAATTTCAATAACTTACTCAATCACAGACAACGTTAATTCACAAACATACAAACACATTATTATTCAAACATTCTCTTCAGCTTGTTACTATTACATATATAAGTACATACATATAGGTATAGAATACTTACCTCGATGAATAACAAACAAGGCCAATGCAGCAGTATTTTTATAACAATTCCTTCCATGAACAAGTAACAATTGTGTAACATGTTTAAATTGTGCTAAACTGAAATCAGATGCTAGACTAGCCTGTCGACCTTCTTTACCTAAAAGACCAAGACCAAGATCAGATGCTTGAATCATGCCAACATCATTGCCTCCATCACCGATAGCTGCTACTCTTGCTTTTGTATGATATCTTAATAAAGTGACGATTTGTGTTTTCTGTGTCGGTGAACAACGGCATACAACTACAGCCGGTGATTGTCTTGCCAATTCAACAAATTCATGTTCATAAAATCTTAAGCATGTCTTATACACAGAAAAAACACAAAAAAACATGATAACTACGGTCAATATCAGTGAATTTATATAATACACATGTGTGTAAATCAAATAGACATATATATCACTAAGAGAAAATACAGTGTATATAAGAGTTATTATTATATTATTAGACAAAAATAGTCACTATGCCATTCCGACAGTTACAAATAAAACAGGGTTAAATTCATGAATTATCTTCCTTGTTATCACAACAACAAAAATGCAATAACTAAAACCCACCGATTATCTAACATTGTTTGCATTAGGTTTAAAAAATTGTGAAATATTCAAGTCTATTGCTTGTGTCGTTTTATACAATATTCATAGTAAATCATCATTACTGGAAACTAACTACAAAACCTGAAGAAGTATGTATATTCCTTATAAGTGCCCAACTTGTAAGGGTTGAGAAAAATGTTGATAAACTTCAGACAGAAAGTGATTTACTTTGGAAATAAAGACATACCAACCAACCCCCCATTAGTAAAAGAGACATGTTTTATTACTTATTGATTTATTTATTTGAACACATAAACAATGCACCACACAATAACAATGAGGCCAGTTAGTAGTTATCATTGATGTGTGTGAGGGCTGTGATATTGACCGAGTGCCCAAACCGAAGTAGCCATTACAGATTTCAGATATCGAATTTCGAATAATAAACTACAGGTTGGAAATTGATTTCGTGTAATTCAATTTGAACAATACAATACAACAAATGACTATCATCAGACGCATAACACTAGATGAGGTGTACCATGGTATTCACGTAATCAGTTCAGTTGCTATTATGTAATTTTTGTAGACAAAATGAATACATTAACAAGCATAAGATGACTACTACACAACAAACAATATTTTATTCACATTTTCCAGCTATTTTAAGTATGCCATTAGAGAAACGATATATAACTGGGACAACATATAAAATTGTCGTGAGATATGTAATGTGGGTAGCTAGTGGTTAGTCAGAACAAGGATGTCACAATGAATAGCTATCTAGAACTAAGACTGAGGTACTTGTGTTCCAGATGTTACCACGTATGTTTATTACTGCTTTCGTTAACTAAAAACCTATGCAATCATGAGGGATAATATACTGATTGTACAAACAAACAATGTGCTCGGTTTATAACAATCACAATAATTTGTGAAAACAATAAATAATATATACGTGAGATAGTGAGAAAACAAATTTATCATATAATTACTTACTTCCATTGATGTTCCAGTTATCAATAAGGCATGATCACAACGTTTACGAAAAGCGTTCAATTCTAAATGAGCTTCCATTCGACCACTAACTGATTTAAATATATACATAGGTGTATCACGACTGACTAAACGAGAAGATTTAGCGATACATGCAGCTGTTTCAAGTTTATCCCCAGTCAACATCCAAACACGTATACCAGCATTTCTTAATGCTTCTAATGCAGGACGAACCTAAATATTTTTTTAGAAAGAAAAACAAAATATACAATCGAATAGAATGGAGACACAACAAAAGTATATTGTGGATGTTATTATCAGTCAGGTGTAATGTAGAAACTGGCACATATCTGCATTGGTTCAAGTTTCCATATCACATTGGTACACCGAGATAAATGATTATCAAAGCAAATACCTGAGTAGAAAAAGTACTAGCAATATAAAGTCAAGTGCTACTTGGTACGAAAGTTTACGAAACATATACAGAAAAGCTTCTTAACAGAATAATCAGAAATAATAACTAAGTTAATCGACTATTCATATACTTAGGGATTATTTGTAACACAACTCTATTGCTTAACTACTAACTTTCCAACACATGATCTGGAATTTTGAGGCCTGTCTCAATACATTTTGAGTTTGAAATATTAGGTAATACTGCTGTGAAGGAGAACACAGGTGAGGACAACCGACTGTATTTAGCACAAAAATAACAGACTATCTCAATAAAATCTGAATACCATAAAGTCAATCGTTAATTTGCAAAATATCAATGCATCATATCAAACTGGACTGTTTTCCGTTGCAATCACCAATCCCATTCCATCGTTCATGCGTTTTCTTACAAATTCCATTGTATTCTCGCTCTTCCTTTCTTGATCTTCTCCTCATCTTCTGATGCCAAACATTACGTTTAAATTCGCGTGATATACTACTTATAACAATATAAGTAGCACGCACCACAATACTAGTTCAGTAATAATCACGGGGAGAGAGAGTAGAATATGCAGTGGACAGTGTTAATTCAGTCAGATACTTGCATGGACCCTAATGCAGATAAGATTTGTACATCACAAACAACATAGATGAATGCAGCGCAAATACTTATGAGAAGTTGATTATCTAAAAGCAACCCTTGAAGTTACAATGAAATCAATCCCTACATTTCAAAAGAACTCTGTGATCTATAACAATTCAACCCAGATTATACTTCCATCTAAACGTTTATATCTTGAGTTCAAACGTAGAGCAACCGATTAGGTGAGATAAATTTTGCTTCGGATCGAATTGAGGCGAAAGATAAAAATATTACTAGGACGAAATTGCAAGGAATAAAAATGTATATCGTCGTCTAGTACTAAGAAGGCGAATTTCTATACAACTGATACAAAGTTCCATTTGAAAGTCCTATACATTGTACAAGAGTGAGCTAAGTTTCCTAGGCACAGTTCATTCACCAGCTACCCAGGCGCGCGATGTTGGAGAGTGTAGGAGAAGATTGGAAGAAAGCTGGGGGTGATCGAACCAAAACATTGCATACGTCCATGAAAACACTGACTGTAGGTAGGTACAGACTATCTAGTTGTGATCCGCATGATTATCGCAACCAATAGTTAAAGACTTTAAATGGAATGGCTAAAAATCTATCGCAATAGTCCAGATGCATCCATCCTAAGTTTCTAAATTTCTCGTAAAATTTCCTTTATTATCTGATTAGTTCATATTTTCTCCTCAAATTATTTCTTAGATGTCTAGTCTTTTTTATTACCACTGAGAATTTATTATTATTATTATTATTATTACTAGTACTACTACTACTGGATTTTCCCTGACGATTTCATCTCTGTGCCAATAGAGGGTATGGGAAATGAACTGACGTACATATATACCAGGTTCTGCTTTGTGTATAACTGACTAACCATATATCTATTCTACTACCATAAAGAACAACGTCTGAATAGAAAACAACCTTGTGCACCCATATAACCTTATTATTATGTTTGACTACTGAAGATGTTGATCTAAAAGTTGTAAATAAAACCCATGTAGTTTTAACTCCATAGTAATAAAACTTGAAATCAACACGTCCGGAGTTCACGCTCACTACACTATAGTTTGAAGAATTTTAATATGTATTATATATACAATGAAATATTTGACATGAACAGTTTACTTCCTATCAACTTACTCCATCTTGAAGTTTATCTTCTACTCCTGTTAAACAGAGAACTTCTAAATTTGTTTCTAAAGTTGCTACAACTGACTGCATTTTTTCGACACGATCAGTTAAAGACATTTTAGCGCTATGGTATCTACATGTGAAAAAAAAGAAAACAAGCAATTCAGAAATAAAATAAAATACAGGGAATGTAAACTGATATTAAGCAAAACATGGTAATGGAAATTCTTGCATGAACTGATTCATAGTACACACATTTAGATTGTGTACAACAGTGGTCTTGATTGCTGTTATAAGTATGAGGGCGGTTATCACATCACCGTTGCCCACACCGTGGAAAGGTTGTTCTGGAGGTACCTGAAATGGAAATTGGATTAGAGGTGGTCTTGGTGACCTGAAAGCGTGACCGCAGTGCCCAAGGGACAACTGCCTGAGGCCGGTCACACACGACCATTTTGTGGGTAATTTCCGTGTCAGTTCCGTACATGTCGAGACCTTACCACCGAAGACGGATATGTGTGGGATAAGGCGAGGTGTGCATTTTTAGGGTCGACCTTTTCTAACCCCACCCCTCCTTGTGGGAAGGCAGCATCGCTGTCATGTTGGAAGCACCTTACTGCCGTCACACCTCTGTACAGTCAACAGTACGACTTCGCCTTCGGACCTTAGGTTTGCTGCTTTTAGTCTTACTGCTCTTTAACCGACCTGTCTGGCATGGTAAGGTTAGTCTACCTAGAGAAATTGGAAAACCCTAATTATAGACTACCGGTATATTTTAAGATCTTAATGTGGTGGTTGCCAGCTGCCAAATACTAAAATGAGCTACTTACAACACTTGCTATCGAACTATTAGTAAACATAAACCGGTAGTGGTTGAATTTACAAGAGCAATAGCAGTACAGATAGATATAATACTATATATTACCGCATGAAACAAGTACATGAAAATATGTAATTTTAAATATATGTGAAATATAAAATGAAAAACAATGAACACTAGAAATATATGTGTACCGTTGTGCGAAATCTGAGTATTGTTCTTCAGTTAAAGTACGCGAAGCGACAACCAATGTTCGTAATCCTTCTCTAGCCAAATTACCAGCTTCATCTTCTAACCAATCCACATAGGATACAAGACTACTCATAACAGTATCTGCACCTTTAACATAAAATATTATTCTTTTGGATGAATAGTCACGTACAATAATACCCATTCGTTTAGATTCCGATGAAAATGGAAATAAATTCAAGATTTCATACTCAACAAAAGAGTCTGAAGAAAAGAAAACGTAAAACATTTAGGACAATATATTGATAATTAGGTTTAGTAGGCTAATTAAATTATCAATTAGTATGAATATGTCATAAATGTAATAGAAGAGAGAACATACCATTAGGTAGACGTAATCGCATTCTGTGCAGGTCACGAAACACAAGTGTTACACCAACAGTTGCAGTCCATGAAACAAGAGCTACTTCATCAGGTGAACTAGCTTGATAACCAATTGGATCAGATAATTCTACCTAGAAAATTATGAATACACTCAATATATAATGTGTTGTTTATAAAGGGCCAGATAAAAACAATACACAGTTCTATCTTGGCACATCTTATTGATAGCGGTCATACTGTAGATAAATCGAAATCATTTCGAGTGATCTATCGTATAGCTCCATCATTTCCCAACGGAGTTCGTTCCCACCTCCTATATATAGCTGAAGCCATAGGAATTCGTACATATAACTCCAATTTATGCGTACAGAAGAAATTCGTAACCCCCTTATCCCTTCCATGGCCAGTTATAACTTAACAAACGATTTTTTAAATTTTTATTACTATTATTATTTATTTATTTTATTCTATTTTTGTTATCATTAACCTTGTTTTCACATCTAGTATTTGTTTGTAATTTTCCGCCTCTTTCCGTTTGTTTTCTCCACTATTTAATTATTTACACACTTCGTATTACGTAATAATGTTAATGTTTTGTGATGACTATTCCAAGTCTATTTACCCACGTTTGACCTTCTATTTCCAACGTTTAACCATTGATAAGACTTTTGTCATCATATTTTATTATTTTAAACAGTTGAGATCATGAGTCAATTGAAGCTTGACCACCATGGAAAACCTGGAAGCACTGGACGGCCGTTTCGTCCTATTGTGGGACTCCTCAGCAGTGCACATCCACGACCACGCCTCATGGGATTCGAACCCAGGACCTATCAGTCTCGCGCCAGGCGCTTAACTAACTAGACCACCGAGCCGGCATCCAATGGTGTTAATGTCTCACTTCAACTAATCCACGAAATCGAGCGACACACCCGCCATTGTCATCAGTGAGTTACTACCTCACAAATGACCCGGTTGAACTCCACTGGTCACTGCTTCTCACTAGAACTCTAGGATATATATCTTGAAGCCAGTCACTAGTGAGCATATGTTGATCATTACTACTATCAGTACACCTGTCTTCCTTACTATCAACTTGTATTTTTACGTATTATGTGTGGTGACCTATTCTATTTCATTATGATTATTGACCCAAATTGCCTTGATTGGTTTAACATTTTCATATAAATATTCATGTATATTAGAGTAAAGGCCCGATGAAGATCTAATTGAAAACAATTGTTCGCTTATATATGTTATTATAATATGATGATAAGTATTGATATTTGTATATATTACGATAGGTTTATTTGTTTTATTAACTAAACACTGCATCAAAACACAACAATTGACGTCGAGAAATCTACACGTCTAAAAAGATCATGCTTATGAAATTATAAATATATAATTAGTTTGTGTGAGTTAATTTACAATATATCAACGAGATTAAGTTCGTTTACTCGGCTTTGAGCCCTGCAATTTTTGTATGCGAACTAGTGAAACTATTCAGTGTAAAAATATTTGAAGGTTAAATTCTTTAACGACTATGATAGTGTTCAATGAGAATAATGGATAACAACATTTTGTAATAGTGGATCCGGCTACCGCTAGTTTACACATATTCAATTTTCAAACAACCTATATATGCCAATTTAGGAAACCAAATTATATCTATAGTTTATACACAATATACATAGCTTATAGCCTATTACTGCATAAAGATTTAATTTTCGGGTTGATAAATGTACGTTCAATTGGTTGTTCTCAATTGATTACAACACGCTGAGAAGTAAAATTACTTCAATTTGTATGATATTCACATATGTATTTGGCGGTGCGCTTTATAATTCCAAGAATTCTATCGTCATTACGGACAAAAACATCATTATGCTCTACTTTAATACAAAACCAGTTTAAATGTGTTTACCTGAACAAAAAACTTTCAACAACATCACAAAGAGTTATAAATCGCCTAATCTACAACATGTAAGAAGTTAGGTATAACAACAGAATTAAAAATGGATGCTTTGTTTCAACCAGTTTCAGTGCCTTTACTGATATTGCAATCCAACACCTGTTACTTTGATTGACAGAGGAGTATTCACTTAAAAATATCAATCTCTTGATTAACGGATACTAATCAATATTAGAGTGTATATTTTAAAGGTGACTTTTTTCTGGATTAAACTTACTAACCCCGAAGTATAAGGAATGTTTATGAACTAGATCATATTCTACCTTTTGAAGCAATAGGCATGCAGTTTGAGACTGACTGAGACTCATGTATATCTAACTGAACGAACAGATAGCACAACGAGATTGATGGTTTCACCATAAAATAAAAACAAGATATGACTGCAAGTAATGAATGGAGTCAATATTGTCAAAGGCGGATCACTTTAGGTCTTAGAAACGTCCAAGCCCTATTAAAATGTGTAACTAATCTAATCTGTTCCAAGGTTTACTCTTCAAATTTCGTGGGGAGAAAAAGAGATCGGTCATTAACAGCACAGTATTTCGGTTCGATCGATAAAATAAAAATGAACAATTCTGAATCCTATTTAATCGTACATTACTTACCATAGCCATAGCTTCTTTACTCTCTCCACCTGGTACATCAATCGATCCAGGATTTGAATAAATTTCTGTCATCGGTGTAACATTATGGCATATAGCTATGGCTAATACTGCATCAGCCATACGTTCATTGGTTGTACGACGAATTTGACGAGTTAATTGATCTGATAAATTACCGATTGTGGAACCAGCAGTGAAATGATTACGTAATCCTTGGACAACCTCTTCCATGGAATCTGACGCAAAAGCTACACTGCCTAAATGTAGCTTTTTAAAAACCATTTCATTTTGTGTAAGTGTACCAGTTTTATCTGACATTAAATAACAAATACGACCCAATTCTTCAGGTATATTAGTATTACGAACAAGGCAGTTTGGCAGGGATTTGTCGCGCATTATCATAAAAGAGTATACGATTTTTGCCAAATCCATATTAACACGCAATCTGGAAGAATTAAAGATTTCATAATAACAATAATAATAATAATGAACGATGGATTCTTTACAGTAAAATAAAGCCTCAGAAATAAAAATTATACCACCAATGAGTTGTTCTGGAACGTAAACACTTTGACAAACACCTAGTATGGAATCACCTAAGAATCATTTTCAATTAAATTTGGGATACACCATCAGTATTAAATGTTGATCCCTACAATGTTCGAATCCACAAACTTTCAGACCTAATGAATAGTAACAGTCAGTAGAGTTAACCTAAGCTAGAATATATATATATATATATATATATATATATATATATATATATATATATATATATATATAAATTCACCCCATTGCACAAGCAAGTGGTTATCAGGACTCAGTAGCTAAGTGAATAACGCGATGGCGTTTGAAGCGGAAAGTACTGGGTTCGAGTCCAGGAGTGAACATTAACTCCGGGATGAAGGTACATCACGCTGACGAGTCCCAGGTAGGACGAAACATGCTCCTGGATACTACTGCTAGCCACCGAACATATTTATATAATGTCAGCCGGTTGAAGTTAAATGTTTTCAAACATTCAAAGAAAAAGACCCGCTCGTGAAAAAAGTCCGAAAGAATCGAAATGGTTTCACAGTCGATGTGAGTACGCGATATTTATAAAAAACAACCTTGATAAATCTAAACTGTCTGGCATTATCAAGCATCACTTCCTTTTACATTACCTTTGATTTCGTTGACCGTCATCACCCACGAATACATTGTGGACAATCAAGTTTTCTTCGCTTATTACTGTATTAGGGTCATATTGAGATGACTTACCGAGGATCTATGAATATAGTGGGAGCTTCAGAATCTCACTAGACTTCCTTAACAAATAAAGTGACATTGTCGTGCTACCCCCTGACTCGTGAACAACCTGTCACATTTAACTGATTGGCCATTAGTTCTTCTGTTGTCTCCAAAGGATTGCTCACATATGGTAGCAACACCATGTAAGTGATTCTGATGTCTAACAATCTATACTTAAGCAGTATCGATAAGCTGGCCAGTCTAATCGTTTTGAAACACAATCTACGAAGAATTACACATGTTTCACGAACATCCCCTTGATTAAACCCATAACACCCACTTGCGTACGCCTGAACTTCATGAAAAAAGGGGAGAAGTTATCATAGAATGAAGGATGGTTGTCGGACTAGGACCCGCTGATTCGTTCCTTATTAATGTCCAACTGCAGTCAAAAATATTACACAACTAAGTAGCGTGAGACTTTACCTGATATGGCTCAGAACAGAAGCGAGTAACGATCCCATTGTATATTTCTACTGCATTTATCTTAAAAATAGGATGCACTCTACAACTGAATGAGATCTAATTTGTTTTATCGCTTAATTAGACTGTTATCTTGAATTAACACCATTTTTCACTCCTATATTTATCGATTACATGATCTTCGCCTCTTCTCTATTTCTTCACAATGTTATCACTCTACTTTTATGTTCCAAGACTGTATTGATGTACAAATTTATCAAACTTTCTATGTCATGAATAAAATTCTATTTATTATTTATTTAAACACATAAACATAGATACAAGAAGGCACCAGATAGATATGTGCTACATAAATCATTCGATTTGTGTGAGGGCTGGGTGCCCAAACCGAAACAGGTGTTTTTCTTAGGGGCCACACCCAGAGCCTTCGACCTATAGATCTAGTCCACAAGGCAGTGGAGCAAAGTCAGGAGATGCAGTCCCACTGTAAAAGATGACCAACAGTTGGTTCATACACCATTTGGTCCCTCAAGATCCTGGGGCCCATATGCACCATTGGTTTGGAATGGGGGTTTTCCAACTCTCCTAGGTGGATACTCTATGTCCACCAACCCGGTTAAAGCTCCGGATATTTGCTTCTCGACTTCTTAATTTCGTAAACAGCACCCCTGCCACGAGAAGGCGGTGAGAAGGACTTCCCTGACAGTGATTGTAAGCATGTGGCTACGTGAGAGCATTTAGAGAGGGAAAGTTGACTCTCTCCACTCTTGGTCGTACAAAGGCATTTGGGGTAATTATGGAATTCTATAAAATGTATTTTAAAATTAAGAAAACTTGTGCACAAAAAATAATTCATGCAAATACAAAATGTTTATCTAAAAGAAAGAAAATACTTACGCCAGAGGAATAATGTAAGAGAATAAAACAACAAAACGCCACCAATATTTATACCAAGATCCACTGAAACCTTTCAGTGCAACCATGATAAGAGCTAGAAGTACTAGGATACAGAATAAGAGTTTTGTGATATTGTTAATCTCTTGATCGATTTTCCCACGTTTTGTACGTACTCTACTTGAATTCATTACTGCACGTGTTTCTGATCCTGTGTATATGACCAAGCCAATAGCACTTCCAGTAGCTAGTACAGTGTTGGACCAGAGTGTGTGATCAATATTTAATGAAACTTCTGATGCTTCAGAATCTGTTGGTGAAGTAGGATTGACATCTGTACGAACGAACGTTCCTTCGAAATTATGTATACTCTGTCTCGGCGCTTCAGCATAAACTTGAGCCTGAATAGTACACAAGAAATAGAAAAATATGATGAATACAGGACATTGAATATTGGGCAGTAGTACATGAAGTAAGGCTTTCCCCTTATCTATATAAGTTGAAAAACAGATTAGTGGAAATTCAAGAAATCAACTCCATAAACAAAGACAAGCTTAACATGTCATTATCTTCTTAAATAAGATAGTTGGTGACAGTTAAATTCTGTCATACACCATCTATCTAAGAATTAAAATTCTACTAGAATGTTAAACGACTTAAAATAGTTTCTGTTCCATTATGTATAAATAACAAGCTAAAATATTTCTCTATAGTTCCCTTAACTTCAAACTTATCAAATTCTTGATGTTGATTAGCAATTTCTTGAAAACCGGTAACATTCTATTATCGACTAGTCAATATGAATGGTTGTTTTCCATGTAATTAAATTGATGTGACTTTAGAAACAAAAGATAAAATAAAATGAGAATTCGGTAAAGAGTTAGTAATAAATGTATTGTTTGTTATGTCCCAATGAGTAGAAAAATTGTATTTCTGACGTTTCGTGACTTAATGTAAGCCACTTCTTCAGAGAAATACAATTCTTCTACTCATTGGTACATAACAAAAAAGTGATGTTCGAGGCTCAGTTGCTATAACCAATCGAATAAATTTTCCTATGGAGGGACCTAGTGGGTGGTCTTGAAGTGTAGTAAAAAAATAGATATAAGTATTATTGCCTACTTATTACTTAACCTCTTCTATGAGAACAAGCCATTAAGTGACTATAAAAAAGTTATTCATTCCACAGTGAAGGGTCAGATTTTTGTGAAATGATCGTGCATAAATACAAATGTCAGTCATGTTTCTAATATAACGATGACGTCAAAAGTAAACAATTACACACGAGTCTATAGAAGCAACGAACTAATAAACAGTTTAAATTGGAGTCAACCATGGCAACTTCTAGCTAACAACTGATAGCCAATCTTAAATCAAGACTCTTTCAAATAAAGCGATAATACATCTAATTAAGAGCTGTGCCAGTTAAAACGTCAAGCGAAGTTGGTAGTTTTGTAATCCAGGATCATGAAACAACACATAATAATGAATGAAAATCGTACATATATTTTATTTTCAAGTACCCAACTCATTATTTATCCCATGCGATCTCATGATTAACTAAACTCAACACTCGACAGCATTTGTTCTGGAACTATTACAAATGATCAGTGCAAACACAAATACTTCATCACTAATAGCATTATTGTGATTTTTCGTTGAGCATACTGGGACACCGGTTTCAGTTGTCACAGTAAATATATCAATCTAATTAACTAGTGAACAAGATTCAAACAACTGATCTGTAGACTTTGCTACTTATCAAGCTTCACCAACAGCGTGTGAAATAATGACTTATGCACAGTTAGTCAAATAAGGTGCACAAAAGAACAACAAGATACAAACTTATAGTTGGTATAAATCAGTAAAAACAAAAGGAAGAACCTCTCTATTTCTCAACAAACAATTTAAAATCATCATCATTAAAGCTGGAATAAATAGGTTAGCTGATAGTGTGTTTAGAATTTATTGGGCAATAAGAAGTATGGAAGTATTATTCTACTATCAGTTTTGTTGTATCAATTATTTAGGTCCTTTTTTCTTCCTAAACTTACGAACACTGTTAATTTCAAATGATAAATTTGAACTAACAGAGAAAAGTCAATACACTTACTTCCATATCCCACAATGAACTTGGATGACCAGTACGGCTGACAAAAGCATGTGTAGTTGGTATAGCATAACGTAATTTCCAGTCAGTCTCACCGTCAAGTTGATCTGTCCGTATAAAACAAGAACCATTTCGATCTGATGTCCATATTAAGATCATATCTGCTGGAACTCGTTGATTCTTCTCTAAACGAATAAGATCACCAACCTATTATAACCGAAAAACGAATACTAACTGTGAAACACTGAATTCAGAGCACAGGTATTAAATACATTAAACTTAACCAACAGAAAGATACCAGGTTAATTTGGTAACAAGCACAAAACAAGTACGTTGTGATATAGAAAAATTGTGAATTAAGATTTTTAAAAATGTTAATTAAAAAAAGAATACAGTTACTTTCACGGTTCTCGACATTCCTAACAATTAATGGTTGTTTAGATAAGGTTTCCGAGGCTATGAAACATAGAGGGCTGTACAAAGTAAAACTATGAATTTGTAAGGAACAGGAGGAAAGGTCATTTATTCAATAAATAACGAAAATAGAATAGTGTTTATTAGAAACAGAGCTTGGGTGGAAAAAGTAGATGAAACAAATTTAGATCAGTTACAGGTTGCAATTTACTTTTATAAAGAAGAATGAAGCGTAACAATCCAAAAGTCTGAGTTATCTCCGAACCTTTGCTGAGTTAGGTGGGTCATTGGTCGTCACCTATTGAAGGGCTTAGGATAACCTTGTTAATTTTTCTGAGGCGGAGTCAGTTGGACTTCTGCCCAACTCACATTAATCTATTTAGGGTGACGAACCTGTTGGCCACGAGGACATATGAGTTCAGTGCATACTATGGTACGATTAAAATCCTGAAATGTTTTCCAAAGGGAATAGTAGTCTTTTGCATATTTGTGCAGTCGGTAGACAACTACAACACAACCACTCGAACTACAGGGTCAAAATATCAGGTAACAAATTGGAGATGATTTTGTCGAAAGTCAGTACTGGTTTTAAAAAATGAGTTGCGATTTAAGCAAAGTTGAAAACAGTTCCTATTATTTAACCTGAGATTAGTAAGTGAAAACTCATGACCTAAAACATCCCCTTCTGAGTTTAAACGTGCATCTAGGCAATTAGGTCCTCAGGTTGCAAAGCAACATCTGTCAAGTGCGTCTTGTTGAGGATTTCATTTATTTGACAGCAGAATTCATCATTTACCTCATCTAAGCAGCCCTCTGACGGTGCATAGACAGAGACTAGGAAAAAACAACGTTTTTCAAGCCGGTTTCTTTGGTCTCTGATTGAACTATCTAGCCTAACAACCCAAAAAACAACTGTTAACGTGAATACAACCAAGTGTTCTCTCCATTTTGACAAGGTTGAACACCAGTCACAGGATTTATAGATAAGTACATGGAGAACCTGTTTTTAAATCGATAAATGGAACAGAAATTTACAATGGTTGGTTGGAGCCCAAATTAAAAGTTTCAGAGATAAAGTATACGTCGATAGTGAGACACTACAGAGTTTAAGCAAACGCCCTCTAGTACCCAATCTATATCAACAAGCAAAAAACTAGGGCGAGAAGTTTAAAAGGTACATATCTTTTCACAATACATATATCAGACATCGTAGTCAGTAATAGCTTCCAGACAGCAAACATTCAATTAAATAAAACCGTTTGGGACTGGAACAATTCTCAAAAGAAATTATCTGATATATCAAAGAGTAGAATTAGTGTAGAAATAAGTAGAACTCAAATGAAAATAAAACGGAGTAGCGAGTAAGTGATGAAAAATAAATGTGGGTATAATAAATTCACTATGACTTTTATCACTAGTGAGTCTTAGTGTGCAACGTGACCACATCATTAGCATCATTGGTAATTATTACCAACTGTGTGAAGGCTTTGATAATAGGTACCTAAACCGACAGAGGTGGTTTCCTTAAAAGTCACAACGCTTCAAACAAGTTTCCGATCTTATGGTCTGATGCACAAGATGTTTGGCAATATCAAGAGACGCAATCCCGTGGTGCCCAGTGACTAGAGTAGTTCTGTACAGCATTCATCACCATATGATCCTTTAGTCTGTGAGGACCATTGGTTCAGAATCAAGATTCTCTAACTTCGTTAGATTGACTCACTATATCTACTTCTCCAGTGCAGTCTTTGGACGACGGCTCTCACTTTTGTAAAGACAACCCGCTAAGGGAAGACAATGAGTAGGGTCTCTTTAAGAGTCGTTTTGAGTAGTGTGGGTCAACCAAAGTTCCAGTATTACTATGAGTTATATACACTGACGGATTATGAAAAGTTGGTTTGCAGTGGTCGTACACTTGGGATTACAAGTGTTTTAATTAGCACAACTCAATACACAATTCAATACAATGTTCAAGAAGGCTTACTTTGATATCTGAACTCATAACGGAAACTTCTTTGTTGCGGACATACTTTCCATAGATAGCCATATTGACATCGCGATCACGAGACCATCTTCCAATGTCATCTACCGCTTCTCGAATCATGGTTATTGCAATCACAAAACCAAGTGGCCCCCAATATGTATACAGACGACCCACACCAAGTTCAGGAATAAATTGACTACATGCAATTACAAGGAAGACGAGATTTAAAAATACACTGAACTGTTCAAAAAGAACCTGAAAAGTACAAACAAATGAAGCACATAGATTTGCTATTAACAATTAGTGAAAACACGAAAACCACAGAAGTAACAGCCTATAAATTTGTAACTATGTTGTACAAATAGTAAACCCATACCAAACAAACTTTCAGATATGAACAAATAAATTTTCAGGATATCCTCAAACAGCAATTCAGTACTATTGGTAGTCACCAATCTGGTGTATGAAACCTTACAAACATTCTTATTTCCCAAGTGGTTCAAAACTGTGTTGTGTATCCTTGGTTTCAGGATGATTCCTAATAAGTTTATGTGAATGTGTAAGTCTCCCATCACAACATTAAGCGGTTTAGGACTAAATCTCACAAAAAATATAGTTTGCTGAAACATTGGCTACAGATTAATAACGAGTAAAAACAATTTTAATTAACAATTATTAGGTTCTCCGCTTGCTGTACCTACAATCTTTCGGAACGCAGCAACTGAAACAAAGGCTCTTTAAGTAGAGTTAACATGGATTAGTTAAACTATACCCGTGAAATAATTCCCTTAACTACTATTTATCGATTAACTCTTCTAAATTAGAGTAATTTCAAAATATACAGTTAAAGGCATTTATAAACAAATAGAGTATAAAAACACCGTATTAAGAACAACTAGTAGCCAAAAATAAAGAGTACTTTTAAATTTGATTCATAATAGTGCTGATGAGCATAGTCCCTAACAAAACCAATGGACCGTCACAAATTCTCCTTATCTATACTGTATAGGGATAAACTCATACTCACCTTTGAGTCAACCTAAGTATGATAGTCACTGATACCCCCGGACTTCTCGAACCGAAGTAACGGTGCATAGTTCGTATCAACAACCCGGTTGACAGTCAGGCGGCTTAATTACTAGACCACAGCTCAACATACCCATTATCTACAATATAACTTTAATAAGAAAATTACACTTGAAAAACTGTTTATGATATTTCTAAGCTAATGGTGTAAATGAACTACACTGAAGTATAAATCGATCTAGTTAACCGGTAATTATCAGGATTCAAATTGGAGATGCTCTACCGTTATGTAAGTAGAATTAGTACCAAAGGTTAAATGAGCACTAATTCAAAATCTAGTCAACTTTAAAACGTAACTGCTACACTCACCAAAGGAATGAAACTTATTACATTATACTTTTGATTATTGATCCGATTCGAAGGAAATTTCTGAGTCTTCGATGGTCTACCAACATTAACTACACGAGCATGATAAACTTTTGGACCTCGACAATTTCGACAACTAATGCAACTGAAATAATATGAAAAGTTACTAAGCAATCGATCAAATGCAGTGTAACAAGATAAAAGAAAGTGATATAAATAATGGTGGAAGCTGTTATAAGACTGATTAACACTAAACGGTGACATATCATATTATATAAATGTGATCAACGTCAATAAATACTATCACCGAACCTGATGGGTTTTGTACAGATGGGTATAGTTACGAGTAGCTGAGATGCATATCAGTATAGTGACAGGGGCATTTAGAAAGCTGGACAGTGAACACAATAACAAAGTCTGTCAGTCAACCGATTCAAACACAGCCTTTAGTTTAAAAAACAATACCGTGATCTGGTATCGATATGACAATATTCTAAAGCCCATAATGTTAGCATCTGTTATGTGCATCATAATTCAATAGTGTTCTGCTAATCCAATTGTCCCATTCACAGTCCCAGTTAACTGGTATGAGAGCAGGCTACAGCTTCATTTTCTCAAGCAACAGTTTCCTGGCACGAACTACCACCGAAACAAAATTTACGTAGTGGGAACAATAGTTATCAACCTACTCAACCTTAATCCTACAAATACATCTAAAATATGGATGGAGCGGCAACGACCACTAGTGCAAGAAAGAATCTGCAGCGGATGCAAACAACTCTTGTTACGAATTGTGGTTTTTGGGTACTTTCCTGAATATTAGTCTTAAGATTGATCCTGAACGCAAGACACTAAAAATTGTTTTAAAACGCATAAATGACAGATTCGGGCTAGGACCAAGAGGATTTATGAGGAAGCTTAAATACAAGCCCTCTACACTAGATTATCTATCGAAATGTTAACAACTAAACAACAAAAACTACATGTCTTACATTTAAAGTATATAGAAACTTGAAGTTTCTTAAAACTATTCTGCATCAGACAATTGAAAAAAGTAGTGCTACCCTCCCTAATAACTTCAACTTCAGGAAGGAATCCCATGCTTCTAAGCTTTGTATTATACGACAAAAAGCCTACATAAATCACGAGCAATTTATAATATGAATCGTTTAAAATGTTCAAGCGAAGTAGCAAGTGAGGGTGGTCATATTATTCATAAGCTAACCTTGAAGAACAGGTAGAACAATTACGGTGCCGCTCGGACTCATTATCTGAATCCAACAAGCTGTCTGATGAACCAGTTGCCATAGTTAACCAAGCACCCAAAACACCCGCGCTTGAGAGGAAATATCCAGTCTTCAGTCTTCAGTCTTCAGTAATAAGGATAGTAGGTTGATGAACCTGTGTTAATCCTGACACATTGCTTTCCAGTGAAGGTCCAGCTTTTCCTTGAAAGTATTCACTGATGGGGCTGATACCACTTGTTCGGGTAAGGCGTTCCAATGATTGACTACTCGATGAGAAAAACGGGATCCCACTTTAAGTTTATTAGATCGTGGTTTATGAACCTTCTTGCTATGACCTCGGAGATTATCAGTGCTGGAGGGAGCAAAAAGATAAGACATATTAACACCCAAATCATAATTAAAGATACGAAATGCCAGTATAAGGTCACCTCGTGTCCTACGATACGACAAGGGGGAAAAGATTTAGGCGTTTTAAGCGCTCATCGTAAGGGAGTCTAGAAAGACCCGTCACTATTAAATCAATATACGCACTATATAAGAGTCGAGCAATTATAGACTGTCTAGTTTCGTTATTCTTGCTTTTTTATGTGACAATACAGTTCTGCAGCATAGTTTGATAAAGTAAACTATGATCAGGTAACTTCCCTTTCTGTAGCTAGTGGAATGATTCAGTTATGCTTGTCAGTCGGTTATAATTAATATAGAGCCTAATACTCACGCGTAACCCGACACTGCCATGCCAGAAGTGGAATAGTCGGGATCAAAATAAAAGAAAATGGTATTGTTTGTCAGCAACCACACAAGAATGACTAAATATAGAGACATAAGAACAGTTTTGGACGCCGAGTTAATGTGAGACACTTTAAAGAATAAGAATACATTTTTCAAATCTAAGGGGATAGATTTGTAGTAAATCCATCGTTTTACTTGACAATATGATCTAAACTTTCTCAAAGAAATATAACCAAACATCGAAACCATTGAATAGTAAAGAGGTTGTAGCAGTACACAAATCCCTAAAACCAGTTGTTCTGCAGGTCTTCTACATTTGATGCTGACCACATTAGTCTTAATGAACCCGCTTAACTGAAGGCGTTTGGTCATGCATCCGCACCAGATCACGAGCAGGTAGGCTGTGTTCAACTGCTGCAACCGCTAATCAGCTCAGATCAGTCACTTCATGACAAATTAATGGCCTATCAAATATATCTCCGAACCATTTCGCTTCGGACTTATGATTTCACTGGGTTGACAAATTTTGATTACAGGTGTTGCTGGTTAAAGTTGTAGTGACTTACTTTGATCACGAGAACACGATTGGTTTAATGAAAACAATTATTATTATTGTGACCAATTGTACCTGTGCTTGTTTTGATGTGCCCTTTGTTTAACTGTGCTAAAAACATCCATTATACTTACTTCGATTGTGACCTCGCGCGAATCCGGTTACGGCAAATAATAATTAATATGTAAACCTGAACTCATCCCATTTGATACATCACTTATTATATAAACAACGACAATTACATTCAGCTGTTCTACATGGTTTTTCTATATGGATATGATGGAAAACTAATGAGAACAACAAAATAACACAAATATTCGTTTCTTCGTTTTTATTTTGTTTACCTATCTTCATTTTATGCCTGCTGTGATATGTGATTCATATCGTACATAAAAATCGTATCGTTGCTTAAAGATACACCGATCAGAGGCGATACATGGTCAATCAAACTTCTTCTCACACCTCAAATCCACTTAGGAATACACACAGTCTGTTATCTTTACACACTTTTTGTTTAACACCACATGTGTCATGCACACTAAGGCAAATACCGACTTTAAATATTATTAACGTGATTCGATGACCTATTAAGTATACAGTTAACCGAACAACCATGTACCTATTTATATTCAATAATTTTGATGTCTGACTATATTTCCTAGAAATGGCTTGAACCAGATTGTCGTGAGATTTACTTTAAATTCATTCGCTGAGATGTTACATGTGCATTCTCCCTCCCTAAATATAGGTGTTTTCGAAAGGATAGAATACGTATATCTGCAAATAAATCCCCAGAACAAATAGTTCTGCAAGTCTCCCAGACCGACCTTGACCTTATATGTTCTACTGGACACACTATTCCTGAAAATGATGTTTCACACATCTGCACTAGATAACCATTAGGTATGTCGTATGATGCACCCCTCGCGACAACTAGTCAGCTTAGATCACACACTTCCTGACATGTCGTCTAGCTTCTAAATACTGCTTCGAACTTTTGAGGATAGTTAACATAGACTTATTTGGTAATTAGGTATTTTTATCACTTGCATTTTTTGCTGGAGGCTTTGTATTGGCTGACACTGTCAAGCCCACATGGGTTATTCTAGCTTCTGGTCAGACCATTTTGTTTATTCTTCTCAAACCACATTTTGACCTCATCAGTTATTCGCTTATCAGCCCTGACCGTTTTTATACGATCATATGTGTGCTAATTATCCACTCTATTTATCGCGTCTGTAACTTTTGTCTAAATATAAATACTGAGTCACATTTGATTAAATGAAGTTGGCTCAATCACATTCTTCACTGGGCGTCGTTTTGCTTCATTCTTCTCTCTCCTCTTTATTCTCTTCGTTTCCCTGATCGTCTGTTTGGATAAACGATTGTAGGAAATATACGTATTCGAAACCCATTCTTGTATTTAACTTATTCATTTCCATTATTCAGCGACACGATCTGAGTCCATGATTATATAGCGGGGATGTACATTTCGATGACAGTCGTAATACGGTTTAATCAAAACTAGATAAAGGGCCACACACTAAAAGTTGAGAGCCCGTCGATAGCATCATCGTCCGACTTCATAGACGTCAGAATGAAGGGCCACTTATTCGTGACTTCTGGTTTGACAGGCTTTGTGACCTTCGGTTTTAAAGGTGTTATGGACCACTTCTTTTCAAGCCCCGAATGTCCGTGATGTCTTTGCACGTTGGTATGAAGTAATGCTGAGATATAAGATGCAAAGCAAAATGAAGAGTGAATTCATATGAGCAGTTGCAAATGGAGTGGGTTTAAGTCATCCCAAACCTCTAGCTTTTCGATTATTAGTCTAGTCAGGTGGCTCGGTTCAGATGTTGGTAACTTCATGAACTGTTGCTATGATAAGGTATGTCAGTTGGCAATCAGTGTCCGTAGGTATGGCATGTGCTTTGCACCTTCCAAGTGCAGAGTACTTCTACAAGGCTGGCAAGAATCTAATCCTGTACTCACCCTGGATGGTGAGCAGATAGAAGTAGTCGAGAAGTTCTTGTATCTCTAGGTAGCTGCATAGGTGCTGATGGTGGCGTGAGTGATAAGATCGATTCACGTATAGTGAAAACCAGAGTGGCGTATGCCAACCCGGGCCATCTTCAGCGCCTTCGTGATGTCAGTCTGGGTGTAAACGGAGGATCTACAACGCGTCAGTGAGAGCAGTCTTGCTCTATGCTTGTGAAACCTGGCCTCTCCGAGTTGAGGATGTTAGGCGATTCTCTGTGTTCGATCATCACTGTCTCAGAAGGATTGCTGACATCCAGTGGCAACACCATGTTAGTAATGCAGAGGCTCGGCATCGTGTGTTCGGGCACAGAGATGATAATGCAATTGGTGTCATCATCTTGAAACACCGACTTCGGTGGCTTGGACATGTTCTACGAATGTCGTCCTAGAGAATTCCACGTCGTGCATTATTTGCCGACTCTGGGACTGGTTGGTAAAAGCGAGGAGGTGGTCAGTGTACGATATGGCGTCGTGGTATGAAAGTAAACTGCAAAGGACGGGCTTCTGTAGGTCCTTCACGACTCCTTGTCTGAAGTCCTAGAGATGGAGCAACACAGTGGCTAGAGACGTTATCAGATATGGCTCACAATAGAAGCTAATGGATATCCTACTGTACCCTTCTTTTACTATCTCCATACAAAGTGGTTGTTTCTTTAACTGAAAGAATCCTTGTGGTTGTACCTTTTCGTTTTCCTGATTATTAAACTACCATACGCTAATCTTTGGTCGTTATTGTTTTTATTCTTATACGCAACTTACCTTCTTTTTCTATTCCTATCCTCCCTGTTTTGTGTGGCATATATATATCTGATGCCTACTTTTACCAATATTTGTGTTTAAATAAATAGATGATTACCACACAACTGCTTTCAAACTATAGGTGTCAACGCTGAGATTTGGCTTGATAGTTTCAAATAAATTGGGGATTGTGTAGAAAGTTAATCATAAATACATTTTTGTTATATACCAATCAGCATAAAAACTGTATTCCTGAAGTTTCGTGACTAAAGGTAGACCTTTATTCAAAGTAAATAAATAACCGAATTGAATAGTGCTCTCTACCTTCTTTAAAACCGGAAAAAATTAGACATAAAAGTATTAGATGGTCAAATATTAGTAAAATATGTGTTCTAACCACTCCGGACTTCATAGATCCACAACCTCACCAACCGATTTGCTACATCTGATCATTATTATGATCCTCGCTTCAACACTTTTTACTCTGCTTCAAAACATACAAACAGTGTTCTGAAGACACTTTTGGTCTAAACGCGATGGAAAATACACGACTTTTACATTTATGGACGATGTTTTGTGACTAAGAAACTGTTCACAGGAAACAGCAGTGCATTTTACTCCCTCGTTCGGTAGTGGTTGTAGATCCCGCTTATTTCACAGCTGATGCAGGTAAGTGCAACCAATCAAGAGTGTTGAGTAGATAAAAATTTAATCGAATGTGTGATCAAAACAGCCCTGAAAAAATTCGGATGTAAGCACGCGTCACTAAATTTTTATAGAGGTCGAACTTTAGCTATGTCTACAGCACAGTTAAGACTGGCGTCCTGAGTTACTAACAAAAATCAAACATGTAACATCTAGGCTCTAGAAAATCATTAATCGAAGAATGTTGAGATAGTTAATCTAGTTTCTCGGGTGCAAGAGTTGATGACAGAGTATTCCTGAAAGAGGGATTCACGGTCACTATCAGTGTTTAAATGAAGAAAATGATGCCATAC